TCAATAATTATAAAATGAGTTTAATTTAAAAACTGAACATTTTTTCTTAAACACAATTATTAATCTGGTATAGCTATGTACCTATGCATTTAAAATTAAAGTCGAAAAAAATTCTTAAATTTATCTCGATATTATATTAACCGTAAAATATTTATTTTATTAGGTATCTACTAAAATTTAATACACATTAATATTACATCGTATTAATTTTTCTATACTTCTGATATTTTATACTTAACTCAAGAATCAGATTTGAACAAAGAAAAATGTCTTACTTATTTTATTAATTTTAACCAAATTCACCATCGCTTCAAAAATGTCAGTTCCCATCAAAGACGTAGCATAATAAGCTCGGATAAAAAATAAAATAATAATAATAATAATAATAATAAGCTGTGTTGGTAATAAATAATATTTTTAAATTCTTCTATTTCAAATTTTTTATTTATCATATAGTACACAATAATAATTATTCTTCTCGGTAGCTTACGGCCGCCAAGATCGTACCGACAACACATTCTCCATACGCCATGTTTCTCTATTCACTGCCAAAACTCGCCAAAACAATCCGTACCTGGTTCTACTAATAGTGCATCGCTCTTAACTTGCTGGTCTTCCAACCTCAACCATTGACGGCGTTTTAAGGATATATTTCCCAATATGGTGCTACAATAATAATACAAAGCGTGCAAGTGTTTCTTCGCTTTCCGTCATTCGTGACTAGTACAGTAAAAAAAAAAAAATGAATTCTTACATGGTGTTGGTTTTCTATGTTAAGTGATTTACATACATCTACACATTTTTTAGAAACATAAATTCTCTGAAATAACATCCTATGAAGCCGAAAGACAATGTTCAAAATATTTTTATCCAGGACAAGAAGACCGTGTATTCATACTAATAAAAATAATTAACCTTAAACAGTATTCATTTATCTAATTAAATTAATGAAAATATGTTCATAGACCTAATAATATTATTATGATAATAAACTATAATAATTTCAATCAATAATAATCAGCATGTTTTTTTAGTAAAACTATGATTCCATGTTTAATAAAATATAGTAGGTAATTAATAAATTAATTGCCAAATTAATAGCTGATTAATAATTAATTTGGATTTAAATAATTCATTTTTGTGAGCTGTCTATTCAATTTTTCGTAGTTATTTTTACTATAGAAACGTATTATAGTTAGTAAAATTATTAACTATAACCTAAAATATTGGTTTAATCTAAAATAATTGTTGAGAATTTAAAAAATAATTAATCTACAATATTTATTTAAATTTGCAATTGTTCAATATTCATTCCGGGTGGTATAAATAAAATTAAATTACATTTACACAAAAATCCAAAACATACAGTATAGATCACGTAATAATTTTTATTTAGTGAAAATAGTCTATAACTTTCACACAATATCCGGTATTAATGACAAAACTAGAGTACAATGAATAACCTGCAAGTTAGAAGTCTTGATAAAAGCCAAGCAACCGGTTACCAATACTTACATACGATTTTTTCATTACCTCTGATCTAAGGTATATGTATTTTTGTTTAATTATAAATTATACAAATATGTGAAAGTTTTATATTTATATATTAAACATTGATAATTTCAAATTTCAACAAATAAAGTTGGCAAATATCGAAAAATGTCAACTTTGATAATAAAATGTGTTCAAAAGTCACATACGTGTAAGTAATACGTCGTGTTAAACGCTGGTAAGATCCGATTAAAAGTAAACAAAAAATATCAGTACTTATTTTATAAGAAAGAACTATTCAAAAAACGAAACTTAAAAATAAAAAAAGTGCTTCAATCATCAATATTGGTAAAGCTAGGATATGCATATCGTTTTTAAATCTCTAAACGTTAATATAAAAAATAAACGAAATGTATCTTTTGAATTTTTAACATTACATAAAATAACTAAAGTTCAGCTGCGTATATAATTTTCATGCCATAAAACACGATTACTTATTTTACTGAAATAAATATATAAACTTTTTTTCAACTTATTTTACACATCGAAAAATAATAAAGTACTAAAAACATTAAATTATTTTAAATGTTTTTCATAAATCTACTTTGGTGCATATTTATTTCACAAACGTGTGATCACGGAAAAAGAAAAAAAAGCATTGTATAACCAATATACTAGCACTTATTACTTTGCTTAAAATATAATGTATAAGTAACATAAGTAAAAAATTAATTAAAGTACTTGAGAATTGTAAAATGAAAAATACGAATATAATGGTTATTCAGGTCATCATGCATAAGAACACAGCTGTAGAATTTTACTGTGTATTATAATACAGCGTTGAATAGTAACGTAAATCACTCGTTGTTACCGTGGTGTAGCGGTAATTTGGTTATGGTTTGAAATAGGTAACGACATTTGAAGTAATGTGTACCGTACTTATAAATAATTTCCACATAAAAATATATGCATAATAGTTTATTTAACGTCTTCATTTTTTATGGCTGTTGAGAACATTTTGTTATTTTTAATCAGAAAATTTTTTTTTTTGTATATAATTGTTGTTGAGTATTATTATAACGGAACAAATGTATTATATATGTAAATGCTTGATATGCACACAATAATTGCCAAATAATAAAACTTCAAACACAAATTGATGGAAAAAATAAATTTTTATTTTCATGAAAAAATCAGTAAAGGTTATTCCGGGAATCATTTCTTTTAGATTTTTCCATTTTTAAATTCAAATCTGCTAATGATAAATCGATTAACTAGGATAACTGCAATATATTGGACGAAAGTTACTCGATGTTTGCATAATACCCACGTACACTAATAAAAATATCGTGATTTCATTACATTTATGTTTTATTTGTAATGAAAAAGTTATTTTCTTACTTTTTTTGACCCAAAACGAGTAATGCAATTTCATTGCTTTTAAAAAATTACTTGCCCAACCCTACAGCATGTATTCGCCTAGCATTAGGCTCCGCAATCTGTGAAACCACTTGGTTTTTCACAGCTTTTATTTATGACAAAGAAGAATCTACCAAACACATTCGACAAATAGCTTGTACCCGCCCATCAAAAAGCCTGCGCTGGTTATCTCACACAAAGGCCTATGACAGTGTTGTTTATGGTCGATGTGGCAAAATAATTTGAAGAATAAATATGAATTCTTATATGAAATAGCCATGTTGCTGTAACAGCCATTTGTACAATAACTAATATACGAATATTGGGTTCTATACGTCATTGTTGTACGAGTTGTTTTCTTTTACTTCAAGTCTTCGATTTCCTGTCGTCGGTATTCGGATAAAAACTTGATAAAAAAAAAAAAAACTCACCCCTACTACTGATAAAGCTTGCTCAAAATCTACAATCTAAATGCATTCATTCATCCATTCGATTGTTTATTTAAATGGACCATTCGAGTGAGTAATGTGAAGGATAATGCGAAAGTTTTCGCTTGGTATTCGACCGTCACACTATAAATATACATTACTGATTAACTTATCCTCATTATTACAGTGTTAATATTTGGTCGATTATTTCAATATATTTACTTATATATTTTTCAATAAACCATTTAATACATACAGAATATATTCACAGAGTTAAGATTTATTATATTTTATTCATTGTTGTGTACGACTTTAAGGTCCATCATAGTATTACGAGTATAATATAATTCAGTAGAACGGTTAACATAACTATGAGTTTATCTTTCACGTTCAAATGTTAACCACGTTACAATTTGTAATCAGTGACTGTTTTTAAAAATAATCGATTAATGAACAACAATTTTAACAACACTTTATATTTCTATATTATGTATTGCTTATCTACGAAAATGTTTAATGTAAAAGAAAAAAGGAAAAGTTAAAAATGTCTCATTATTTATTTTATTTTATAAAATAATAGAATTTTTCATTACATTATATTCAATTTATATATATCAACGGATTGATTAAGACTACCAATAATGTAAAAAGTATTGTTTTTTTCATATTTTAATACTGATACTTCTACACATACAAGTATACAAGTAAAATTAATTCACAAAAAATAATTTATAAAGTTCTATAAAATATATTTGAAGTTTATCAAATAATCACTAGAAAAAAAATATCAACATATTCGTACAAGTAGTATTGGATAAAAAGCTCAATTTTATACGTTAACTAAATACAGTGGTCAAATAAAAGATAAAAATAATTTCAAGTTTCAAAAATCTCTTGATGGTAATAGAATAGATATTTCTTAAAAAATGTTTAATTATTTTAGAACTTGTATAGTGTATTATTGCAATTTCGAAAGTAATTAAAATTATTTCAGTGAAACCTCGGTATCTCGAACTCCGATATCTTGAAGTTTCTGTACGTCGAATTTTTTTTTTCAATCCCGATCATTCAGTATTGGAATTACTCAGTTATTTCGGTATTTCCATATGTCGATTATGTATAAAAATGTATCAATTTAAATACTGAAATAATTATTTAAATTTTATGATCAACAATAAAATTTTTTTAAAACACATAAAATGATTCAATAACTGTTTTGTAATAATAATGAAATATTCTCTGAAAATTAATCCAAAAAATGTTATGAATCATATTAATCAATGCTGTAAAGCATATTATTTATATTATATAATATATACACACAAAATTAATCAATCGTTATGTACACACGTGCAAAACATTTTTGTACGTCAAATTAAACAATAATCATAATAAGCAAAACGCGTTTACCCGTTTAATTTTTTTTTTTTTTTTTTATCATTCGAATCGTAAATAGTATTTATCTAATGAGCATTATCAATACACTAATATCAGTCTCAAGATCGATTTCAAAGACAAAACAACCGTTTTTTTTTTTTTTTTAAATTTTTTCGCGCTCGCGAAATGTATACTATAGTTGAGTCGTACGTGTCGTAAAATATTATTACGTCACACAAAGGTTGCGTAAATATCTCGTATATGTTTAACAGTGTGTGTACTTACAGCGATTGGGATGTACGACGGTGGGCGCGACGGGCCGGAAACCCGATCGTAAGAATACGGAACGGACGCGGAAACGGTGTCGGACACGATTATCAGAACAATAATATTATGGTAAAAAAAAAAATAAAAGAAAAAAAAGTTAACAACAAACGGGGCGTTGAAATGAAAAATAACCGCCAAAAAATAACCGCGCCACGGAATCCGCTCACTCGGACCGATGCGTAAGCTACCTCTGCGGGGACTTTCGGCGGTGCGAGCGCACGTGATCCGCCGGCACGCCGCACGGAAGGAACGACTGGACCCGATAGCTACCGAACGCACGCGGTGGTAATAATAATGACGTTTCGTGCGGCCGCCGCCGCCGCCGCGTTCGCCGTTCGTACGGGAAACCGGCGCGACAACGCGCGGCCAACAGCAACAATAATAGATAATAGCCGAACAGTAGTAGCGGATCGGTGACCAATAATCGTAAAATGCTTTCGATTTTTTTTTTTTTTTGATTTTTTTTTTTCGTTGCTTTTTACGACCCGAGCGCAGCTTCTTTACTCGCGAGGGGAACGCGCGTTCGATACGCCGAACCGTACCCTCCGGGGAGGTGCGGTCACCCGCGGGGGCGCGCGTACGTGTTGGTCCGTCTGTTTATTCGGGGCGGCTCGGGAAGTATAAATCACGGCGGCGCCCGTGATAACCGAAAAAATGCCAATTTACGCCCCGAGAAAATATGTTAGTTGCACTACTGTTCTTACAAACGCGCGCACAGACTGGGACGGTAATGGTGTCGTGAGAAAGGGGTAAACGTCTGTATTTGAATAGCAATGCGGCGACCACGACAATAATGTTCCGTTTAAGAACTATCGGACTTGACGGCACCGAATACGCGCTCGCTTCGATCGTCATACTTCACCACGTATCCGTTATTGTTAATAACAGGTACCGATAGTACGTCAAACACAGTCCGGAACGAAAATCCATTTGAACAAAAAATCATCCTGCAATAAACTTTAAACAGTTTAACATATACTCCAACACCAGTAATAATTTTAGGAAAATAAATTTAACGAGCTGATTGACACGGGCACACTTCATAATGTACTCTTATGCTAATATATTTAAAGTTGTTATTTTACATATCATCATATATTTATGTAATTTACATTCAGTAAAAAGGAGATTTCTGTTTAACGGAGTTTATTGTATAGAGGTTAAAGAAATTTAATTATTGAAAAACTAATATTATTGTTTTTATTTTTCGCCGACAAAACTGTTAATTCGTAAACTGTTGATTTTTAGAAGAAAAATTATTTTAAATTATTTCAATTCCATAGCTCGTTAAAATATAACTGCCATGATTATGGTTAATACATATATATATCTAAGCATTATATTATTATTAATTCTTAATAAACTACTGTAAATAAAAGAATGTACTAATAAATTAGTAAAAACCAAACAAGATTAAATCGGTTTTTTTTTTCATTCCATTTAAGAGTTTAATTTTTTCTTAAAAATTGAAATATTTTTATTAATTGTTTAATTTTTAATATAATTACACTTTTTAATAATACTGGTTAGAAAAATATTATTTTATTAAAAATAATAATATACACTGACGATAAAAATAAAACACAATTATACAGTTATAAATAGGTTCTTGTTTCTACACGTAATCAATTACAGATTTGATTTAAAACAGCTTTCAATTTGATTTAATATATTTATAGTTTAAGTAAATAACTATATAATTGACAGTTATTGCAATTAATATATTTAATTTATACCAAGACTTCGAACATATCTATATTTATAACATATTTTTGTGTGAAATAAATTACTCAAATTATTTTACCGCCTTTTAAAATAAAGTCAAATGTATTTACAGAAATGGAAATGGAAAATGGAAACAAACACTTTATAATATATTAACATATTAGATAGTTGTTGAATTTTTCTAGTTGTATTTAAGGAAGTAAATGAAGGAAATATTATTAATTCAAAAATATGCAGTACACCTAATTTTATTTAATTTTATGGAACGCATTTCTATCGACCTGAATAATTACACTTAACTGACGCGTAAAACTTAATGGCTTGTTAGAACGGCCGTAATACAAATTTACTATTAAAAAATGTGCGTCAACTATAAAACCGTGTTTTTAGAATATATTGTGTTCAAACTTGTTTTAGGTAAAATCAGTACAATGCACTAGACTTCTTAAACCTAGACACTCCCCCCACCATACTCCTGAATGATATTGGACATGTTGTAAGAAAATCAAGTATCCCGTTTTGTAGACAATCAATTATTATTTCAAAATCATAAATACAGGTTGTAATTCAATAGACAAAATAATTCTCTAAATTGAAAACACAACTAACTTCAAACCAAATTAATTACTCAGGAATTTTGAACAGTTTTACAACATATTTGACATCGATATAAATATATAAAAAAAAAAAATAAACACGATATTATAATCTATTTATGGTAAGAAGATCAATTATAAAATTTTAATCTTCAAGTAATTATTTTGGAACTAGTATATATACTATATATATCTATTGCATTCATCAATCAATACATGTATAGATCGATAACGATTAAATGAATACGTTACGGCAAAAAATATTGTCTGAGAATGTTTTAATGTATAATACAAATTTAATTCGACAAACAAGAATTATAATTGAGATTACTTTTTCTCGGTTATCGGCAAAAAAAAATGTAACTGATTTAATTGTTTTTATCGTTTGATGACAGCATATATAAAACAGCTGGAATAGTTTCTCATTATAATTTGTTATAAAATTAATGATAATTGTTAACAAAAAAGGTAATTCAAATTATTTGCTTATCAGTAACTTTTAGTATGATACTTGAACATTTTTTATATATATATATATATTGTTTATATGTATAATTGAACTATAATTCAGAACAAAATTTTCTTAATAATGCGAAAACTGTATACTGATAAATTATATAAATAATTGACAAATCTATTTTCTCTTGTAGCTTAATGTTTTAACTATCTAAACGTACGCATTATAAAAAAAAAAGTTCAAAAATGTTTATTGTTAATATATATTAATTAAAATACTCTAAAGAAATAATTCATTAGGTTATCGATACAAAATATTAAGTTTAAAAATGTTTATCACAATATTTTCATATTTTCACATTATTAAATCTTTAAATACTTATGTACCTAAAAGTATATTTATATAGTTTATATATGTACGCATATAATTTATATCTTATAATTTTTTTTTTTAGTGGATACGTTCATATTATTATAGATATATTATGAAAAACATATAAGAAGTAAAATATATACACATTATACTTTTATACTAACCTAACCAATGACGCCTTTAGGCAACAGACATTTCATAAAATTAAATTAGAGATGTTGTAGTTATTGGAGTACACGTGTACTAATAAAAGTTATTCAATAACAGAAAAACAAGTTAAAAAAAAATTAATAAAATTATATTTAAGAAAAACAAAATTAAAAAACCGTTTTCTTTGATAGAAACTAATAGAATTAATGAATACTGACGAAATTAATCAGATATTCTTAATGAGTACATAAACGAATAAATGTAATTAAATATCTTTAATGAAGTATAAACTAGGTACTTTAGAAGCGTTTTAATCTGATGATTAAATATTGTATAAATAATTATTCGAATCCCGCTGATTGTTTTGTACAGGATTAATTATTTGCGTCCCAAAATCCATTTACGATGTAAATCACCGACCGGAGTTTATTTTCACATTGCAAATTGCAGTGTTTCTAATTGTTTTCTATAATATTCATGATAATCACGTGAACCATATTTTCCTAATCATAACGAACACTGTTTTCTATTCTCGCGGTAACAGTATTACAGGTTTAATTTTTAAATGATCTATCCGATTTCTATCAGTCTAATCTATTCGTACGTCATATTTTTCCAGACAAGTCGAATAATAGAAAATGTTGATATTTACATTTCACAAAAACAGGAATAAAACCAAACGAGTGTGGACCAACCACTCTGCATACAAATATGTTTATCAAATTTTAAATTATCCGCAACTTCTATTTAGTGTCATTTCAACGCCACGATATGATAGTAACATAATATTCAATTACTTTTATAATTCGCTAAAAAAAAATAACATCTTGGATTAAGCAATTTATACGAATGTATCGTCCTTTATGTACTGAATGTAAAAATGTCTATCTGAATGATTTCATTCTTAACCTTTATAAGCCATTCGTGGAGAACTTTATGAAACTAGAGATTAAACGTATTTGCGTTGCGTGTTGCCAGTTATTTTACACGATTATAAAGTGAGATATTACAAAATAACTTACTATATACTATAATAATAATGTATCGCTTGTTATATATTTACTTATTTTTTACCAATATACTTCTTTTTCGATTTCGAAAAGTGTACAAGATACAAGACATTACATGTCCTTAGGACATCGATCTCACTCTACTCGACTTAGTGCGACGTAAGACGCTATGCTTATAATATATTATCACACACTCGAAAACAACGATAAATCATTGCATTTTAAAATCGATTTTAGATTCAGCATTAACTAATAATACGAACACAAATAAAAAATTTAATAAACAGGCTTTAATATTTGTTACAAGTATATATATTTATATATATTTTATAAATATTATTTTTTTATTGAAAATTGTATTTTGTATATATATACACACGAGATTATTTAAAATTTACAAAATAATAATCATCAATTTAAAATAGTTTGGATCAATATTGAGTCAAAAATAACTCCTGGATACTAGTTAGAAGAAGATTAAAAGTTAAATAATTTGCAATTTGTTGGTATAGTCAACAGCTGCGGTTCTGAAACTTTTACGATCACCGTACACTTGAAAATTAGTTTGTGAGTATCGCAAAAACACTAACCAATGTTTAGAACGCAAAATATATCTGATTTCAGGATACACGCTTTTCAATTCAATTATTGATTTTGAAAGTTTCCATAAACCAAAATAATGCATGGCGTTTTTTTCTCCGTACAATACCTCATTTCATACCGATAACATATACAGGGCCGGCTAGAACTTTTGAGGGCCTCGGGACTGATCGGTTCCAGGCCCCATTACTTACGCTTGTTTGGCCAAGATATATATACTACTTGTACATATTTTTACATACTTTAGTATAATAAAAATATTTAAATTTGCATCTTATGCTACGCCGAATGAGATTATAGAATAATTTTTCATAAAAGGCTGAAACAATGGGCC